TTTCAAACACTACTGCAGGTGGAGGCCGGTAGGCCCGTGCAGATCGGCACGGCTCGGCAAGGCGCCAAGCGCGCTGCTGCGAGGCCCTGGCTCACACGACTCCGCGGACCTGAGGGAACACAGGCTGCGTGCGGCATGCGGGCAGAAGCAAAGGGACAGTGCAGCCAAATCCAGCATGCCGAGCAGCAGGAAGCACCCTGTCCTTTCCACAAGTATGGCTTCCACTGGGGAGGCTTAGGGGGTCTTCAGAAGCTGTCAGAGGAAGCATGGAGAAATCTCCTTCCTCGCCCAGAAGATACCTGGAGCTGCAGCAAATAATTTGCAGGTGCTTCTGCTGAAAGGGACTGTTCTTGCAGTAGGCAAAATCAGCATCTGCTGAGTGGAGACCATTTAACATTCAACCTGCTGCCAACCTCCGTTCCACGGAGAGACCTGCAGGAGCGACATGGAGCTGTGCCGCTTCCAATAACCGTGGGACTGGCACCAAGTCAATGCTTTAATGTAGAAAGCTCCCCTCTGTCCCCGAGCCCATCCTTCCTTTCCCTTGCCTAGGGGATTTCGGGGTGTCCGGAGCGAAGGGGCGCAAGCTTCGGAGAGCTGCTCGGCCAAGTGCGCTGCACGGAACTGGAGGGGCGACGGGGAGTGGAAGGGAGGGGGATACGGAAAGCAGTGTTGGAGGTAACAACTGTGCAAGTTAACAGTGTTAGTTGCTCTGCCTCTCCACGTCGTTTCTTCATCTATTTGTCACTGCACTTTCCTTCTACAGTGACGGCTGATTCAGCGGTACCTGCAGGATCCTTTGCTTGCTGTGAGCAGAAGCCAAAGCTCTGCAGCAATCATCAGGTCCAGGAACGGCTCCCTCCCAGCTCTGTAAGCCAGGACTTGGGGGAAAGGATCTCACAGCCTTTGCCTCTGATATGATTTTCTTTTTAATCTTGAACAGCTCTAGAAAACAGTTTTACCAGCACAATACTCCCCTGAACCATCTCCCTGCAGATAGGGGATGGCCCAAGGTATAGCAGTGGGGAAGGGAAGAATGCTTGCTAAGAGGGTTAAAACCCATTAAAACCTTTGGGTGTAAATGCCTACAACTGCCTACACCACCCGCAGCCACCGCAGAGACTGAAGCAGCTCCCACTCACGCTGCGAAACCCATGTGAACAGCAGTGAAGAGAGAGGCACTGGCAGGCAGGACAACAGGCCTGACTCTGTTTCTCCCTTCATTTTTATCTCATCCACACACCAACCTTGTAGAAACCAGTCAGGAGAATAAAAGCCATACAAACAGGACACAAAAAACAACAGATCACTCCTCACAATCTTTGGCATATCCATAATTTCTACTTCATTTCTAGCTAATGGTGGAAATTAGTCTTTAGACAGTTGATAAAAATCAACCTGTCTCTGCTGGGTTAGTACCATGATCTGTGGCCCAGCAACTACTTCTAGTACAATTGATTTTCCTTTTTGGCAACCAATAGGCCAGTCAATAATAATGTTGTTTGAGAAGGATTGAGTCATGAGGGAGATGAACCCTCCCTGCCATTTATTATGTTTGCATTGTCTCCATTTGAAAAGATTTTTTTTTTCCCCATGAGGACGTGAGCGACGGTATTACGAGGGGACAGCTACTCCATGCCCTGCTCTCCCGGAGCCCTGTGCCTGCCGAGTGTGCTGGCATGCAAACGGGGAGGAGAGCGGCTGCCTGCTGCCCAAACGCAGCCCCGGCCTGCGGGAAGAGAGGGGCCGGAGAGGCAACCACGCTCCTCCTCAGGAGGCCTTGGAAAGGAGGAGAAAGGATCCAGGAGGAATGGAAATCTCCCGCTAACGTGTGACCAGACAGCCACAAGAGGCAGCTGCAACGCCGTTCTCTCCCCGCCCGAGCGTGTGTCACTTGGGGTAGCTCTAATAGGAGGGCGGATGAGGGAACAAGGCTCTTCCTTCTGCTCAATGCCAAATTCATCCTTCTCGGGACAGCCCTGCAAGAGAGCCGGGTTGCACTCAGCTCTGGCTCCCTATGGGACAGGCTACCAGGAAGCTGCAGCATTTCCAAGGCATTTCC